GCAAGATAGGCGATCAGTGAGAACACAGCGATGACAACAAAAAGGAAACCAATTACCCATAGAAGAATAAATTAATTAAAAGAAAAAAATTTAAGCAGAAAGGAAAAACCTGTAAATAGATCAAGGTCTGATTTTTTATCTCTAGGCATGTCCTTCATTCAGGACTGATGGGGTACCATGCTCGAGTTAGCACATTTTTAATGCAATTTTTGTTGTAAAATTAGGTCCCTCGGCTGATATTCAGGTTGGCTTATACTCGAGTACACATGGTACTTTTTTACAAGAACGCTCTTTCTGATAAAAGTAACACCTGAATTAAGAACTAAATAAAAGTGAAAGAGCAAAACTGACAGATATTTTGGGGGGAAGTATTACAGGTAGCAAAGGAAATGGGAACACGGAGGCCGTGAGGGAAGCAGTCTGGTTTCATGAGGAAGAACAGGGAGACTAGTGTGGCTGGAGGGGAGGTAGGAGAGGAAGCAGGAGGCTTGTTGTGGGCCTCGGAGGCCACAAGAGAAACTAGATTTCACTCTTGAGTGAGATCGAAGAGAAAACGTTTTGAGCAGGAGTGGCATGATCAGATGCACTGTTTCAGTAGGAACCTTTCTGGCTGTTCTCAGGGAAACACTGCTGAGAATACACACGAGGGGCATTTTTAAGGAACTCTGTTGAGAGAAAATGACTGGGTTACTGTGGGCATACTCACTCTTTAGATTCCTGAGTTCTTTTAGTAACATTTTGTACAACTGTATCGTAGCCAGTTTCTTCACTCCGATTCTGTTCAGATGTAGATTTTTCCATTTCTTCTTCAATCATAGACCCCAATGTGTTGCATATGTATTGTCTAAGGTATTTCACAAATTCATAGCTGAAACAAATATTTAAAAAATAAATGCAGATATTTTCATTATCTTAAATTCACTTATTAACTATATCCTCTAAAACATGTTATCACAAGAAGACATATTCTGATTTCTTACCTCAAACTAGGATTAAATTGGTCATTCATTACAAATCACCAAATGGTTATCTGGATATCTATTCTGTTCTGTTTTAATCTAGAATATTTGGAAACAATCTTCCTTCAAAGTTGATATCATGGGGAGTTGGGGGAGTGGTAGTCATGACCAACCCTCTTTTACATATCAGTCCCCAACTCTAACATGTTGAGGAAGTAGTTGTTAAAGATTGTCATAATTACTAAAGCTGATAAGGAAAACTAGACTAGAATAGCAGTAACTATAAAAGAATAAATAGGGAAAGGTCAAACTCTGATCATCAGAAGAGAAAAGTTTGTGAGTGCATGAAAGGGGTAATTCTGACCTCAATTCCATCTAATCACCTTTCACCTGACTACACTGAAAGTGAAGAAACGTGTCTCAGACATATAGATACACTAGACATTTTTCTTCATACTGTTTGTTGATGGTAACACTAAAATTAATTTAAAACCAAGGTAACAGACAAATATTAAAAGGCAAAAGCTATGCAAAGTGGATAATCGATAGCTAATTGTTCTATGAACCACTTACTAAAGAAGAAACATCTACATATTACTAAATAAAGCAATAATTATAATTTATGCTATAAATTATAAAGTTTAAAAAATTGTTAAACCGTTTTATTAGCACTTCATCCGCATGTCATACAATTCAATAATTCAATCAGATCAAGAAGAGTTGTACAATTATCAGCACAGTCAACTCTAGAACATTTTCTTTTCCTTGTACTCATTGTTATTCATGTAATTTTTTATTTTCTAATTGTGGCAAACAGTACAAAACACTGTACTTCATGGTCCTGCGCCATCCTTATAATTGTTTGCAGCCACTGTATCAATCCATCTCATTAAGAGTTTTCCTCTTTTCACCTCCACTCCACTTTGCCAAACATGAAGTCCTTCTCCAAGGACTGATTTCTCTGGATAATATGTCCAAAGCATGTAAAACAAAGTCTTGTTATCCTTGCCTCTAAGGAGCACTCTGGCCGTACTTCTTCCAAGACAAATTTGGTTATCCTTTTAACAGTCCATGGTATTGTCAGTATTTTTCTCCAGCAATATTTTTCTCTTCAAATGCATTGATTCTTCTTTATCTTTCTTATTGAGTGTCCAGCTTTCATATGCATATAGAGCAATGAAAAACACCATGGTTTGGGTCAGGCAAACCATAATTCTCAAAGCAACATCCTTGCTTTTCAATACTCTAAAGAGGTCTTGTGTAGCAGATTTACCTAACACAATGCATCATTTGATCTATTGACTGCTGCTTCCATGAGCACTTATTGTGGACCCAAGCAATATTGCAGCATTATTCACAATAAATGGTAGCGAAAAAAAGGTAACTGCCCATCAACAGTTGAACAGACAAATTGTGGTATATACATAACATGTAACACTACTCTACTATTAGGAGAAATAAAGTCATGATACATGCTACAGTATGGATGAAGCTTGAAAATATAACACTAAGTGATAAGTTCTTCATCAAAGGACAAATCTTACATGATCTCACCTATATAAAAATCTTACATGGTCTCACCTATAAAATAAGACAGGGTAGAAATATAGAGAATGAAGTTCATTAGTGGTTACCAGAAGTAATAAGGAAAGGAGAAAAGATATTTAAAGCTGCAAAATCACATTAAGGGTAGGACTGCATAGATAATTATTATAATTCCTGTGAATAAGTTATACACCTATACAAAAGTCACTCTGGCACAAGTTAAGTGATAGATATATTCACCACAATGAGAAAAAACTAAATGCAGGAAAAGTGTCTACTGAGGCTGTTTATGTACAAACATAGGATTTGGTTCAAAGGTTTGAAGTCACAGTTTTAGGGGACTGCTCAATTAATTGGGCTACTAGCATGTTTAGTGCTTCAGCTCTACTTCCTGCTTTGTTGCATTAGTACGTGGGTTTTAATGACTTGCCATAGGTCTCCAATGCACCATTGGTCTCTATTCACCTGGAACAGCAGAGGGGGAAAGAGATCCAGGAATAGAAGAAGGATATGAACGTGAGGATGCTCACCATTCATCTCACATCCTTTGGACATGTTATCATGTTACCAGTCCCTGGAGAAGTACAACAGGCTTGGTAAAGTTGAGGGTCAACACAAAGAGGAAACCCCTGAACAAGATGGATTAGCTACACAGTAGCTGTAAGAACAGGTTTCGGGATAACCGTTATGAAGACGGCGCATAGCGAGGAGGTGTCCGGTTCTGCTGTACACGGACAGTCACTATGAGTCATTGCTGATGCAACAGCACCTAATTTCAACAGTGCAGCATGTGCGACTGAAGGCCTCTGTATCAGTCTGGGTACTTTAGAGAACCAAATCCACAGCAACTCATGGATAAGAGTTGTTCTATGTAAAGAAAGTGTGCATCACGAAAACATCCCAACCCAATGTTGCCCAAGCCCACAAGTCCAACATTAACCCATTAACCCAACACCAGTCCACAAATCCTCCACCTCACAAAACAGAGGCAATGATGCCAACTGCAGGAGGAAAGCTGAGTCAGTGAACAAACAAGCATCTCAGCACTAGCAGAGGTCTCCACACAGCTGCTCCAGCACCCAGGGCTGCATCGGGATAGGTCCATGTAGCTTCTCCTTGGGGATGTCTTGTAGGAAGTCAGTCTTGCAAGCTGAAGCAGGGAACTGCCAAGGCAGCTGCACCCTGGTGCGACCATCACAAAGGAAGAGACCAGAGAACTAGAAAGGCGAGGCTCACCACCCATTTATCACCCTGCCTTTCAATTAGCCCCACATGTGATTATCGGCCAGGTTGGCACAATTAACTAACTCAGCCTCCATCGAGGACTGTCTCTTCAGTCATGAGACCAGAACTGATTGGCTATCATTATTGAACATTTGGATACAGGATTCCATAGAAGAGTCCTCAGCAAAATGGATAAAATGCAGAATGAAATTTCAAATTCTTATAGACTCTGTAACATGGAGATGATCTTATGTACTTCATCCTTTAATATGGAAAAACAGGGAGCATATAGAAAAGAAACATATACTTCATAACAGTAAACTACCAGACTTTAAAAAAAAAAAAAACGGGGAAGGGAGATTTTGGTAAATGCATTCTCTACCCCTTTTGCTTCAATTTCAGACTTAATACAAAGAAGGGATTCCTTTAGCTTTATTTTTGTTTTAAGTCATTTTATTGGGGGCTTGTACAACCCTTATCACAATCCATATATACATCCATTTGTCAAGCACATTTGTACATCTGTTTCCATCATCATTTTCAAAACATTTTCTTTCTACTTGAGCACTTGGTGTCAGCTCCTCATTTTTCCCCTCCCTTCCTCCCTCATGAACCCCTGATAATTTATAAATCATTATTATTATTATTTTATGTCTTACACTGTCTGATGTGTCTCTTTACCCCCTTGTCTGCTTTCCATCCCCCTAAGAGGGGGTTATAGGTAGGTCATTGCGATCAGTTCCCCCTGTCTCCCTCCACCATCCCCCTCTATTTTTAGTTTAAACCTTTTTCCAGAACTCCAGACTCATATATTAACCATCTGCTAGAAAAGGTTACTTTGAATTCCTCCATCATATCACAGTTAACATAGCCAAAACCAAATCTTCATACCCATCTACTCACAAACCACCTTCTCTCCTTATAGTCTCATATTTCTGTTAATGGCATGTTGATGCAATCAGAGATTCATGGAAAGTCTCCAAAAACTAACTATAATCTTCACCTTCAAGTCTCCTATCTAATTAGTTAGTGTTATAATTCTATAAATTCTTCCTCTTCAAATCTTTCACTTCCCACTGCCATATACACACTCACATCTTCCTAATAAATACTTGAAAATAGCAAAATACTTGCCAAGGGTGAGATGATCACACCCATAGGAAACAGATAGTTTACAGTGTAGTTTTAATTATAAAATTTAGGGCAATGAATGTACAAATGTGCATTACACAATTGATGTATGTATGGATTGTGATAAGAGTTGTATGAGCCCCTAATAAAATGATTAAATATATATATATATTTATACTTATACTTTAAATTTTTAATATATATATATTTTAAAAATTTAAAGTATAAGGCTTCTGGA